TCCTCCTCTGCTAACTTTTTCATGCCTGTCGACCCCACTTATTAAGTTGTCCCAGAATAGGGATTTTTAGGCTTAGGAACAAGACCTGCTCAACCAACCAGGACTGGAAAGAACCTCTGCTACAGACCCAGCGCTGATAGAAATGATGCTTTGGTTCAAGCAGGACTGAGCTGCTGGCATTTACAGGCTGATGGCATTCTCCCCATTGGAGAAACTGGAAGAGGGGAAAAAAAAAGGGCCATGTTGGAGGGAATCAAAGGCCGAGAGAGAAGCTACTGTTGGGTGCTCCTTTGCTCCTGGAAATAAGTCTCTGCATCCAGACTCATATGAATTACTCCCTAGGGAAGTGAAAACTTGCACATGTGATTAGGGAGCTAAGGCAAAGCTGTCCAGTAGAAATATAATGCAAGCCATATGGTATAATTTGAAGTTTTCTGGTAGCTGCCTTAAACAAAATAAGAGGAAATAAACTTTAATCACCTTAATGATTAAACATTAAATAATTGAATTTTAGTACTTGTTTATTAAAAATAACCAACGTATCATTTTAACCTAAGTCAGAATAAAATTATAAGTGAAATATTAGTGAGACATTTTTGATACAATGAGATATTTCACTTTTTTTTTTTTTTTTAAAGAAAGTCAAGGAAATTCCATGCTTGATGTCTAGTGTTTTATATGTCAATTCAGAATAGCCACATTTCAGTGCCTCACTCGCATATGTGCTTGGTGGCCTGCAGAGGTCTAAGAAGTCAGGAAGGGTTGCCAGGATATAAGGAAAAAAATGCAGATTTCTTTCAAATGCTTCTAAAGTAGGTTGCAATAATAAGACACAAACATGCATTCATTCATCAAACATTTTTGTGCGCAAGGGACAGTAAGAAGAGCTCAAAGCTTCTGCCCTCAAGGACCTCATCATCTAGCAAAGGAGACAGACCTGAATAGACATTATAATGTCAGTTGGCAATGCCATACAAAAGCACGAGGGAGCAGAGAGATGGGCGATCTACCCAGGGAGGTTACTGGAAAATAGGGACCCTAATATTACCACTTATTGTAATTGGCTAAGATGCCTGAAATTCTCATCATTCCATGGATTCATTGTCATGAAAACAGCCTGGTCCAAATGCAAATAACTACTCAGGCAGGGGGAACACGTAAACGCAGGCATGTGCCCATTTACATGCATGATTTTTTTTGAAACCAGGCTTATGTGTGTTATTTAGTAGAAAACAAAGCTGGACTGTGGCAGAAAGATCTAAGACTAAATGCTCAACTGGGGAACACTCAGATCCTAAAAAGCTCCAAGAGGAGACAGCTTTTACTGTTTTCCCTTTTAGGGAAAGTGCACCGAAAGCTTTAGGTATCAGGAGGAGGCAGGAGGCTGCCCCCATTTCCACACCGACAAACTAGTCCAGACCAAGGTCTTCCTTTCTCCTAATGTGTCCTATCCACCTGAGCACGCCTCCCTAAACAATGGACAATTGTGCTTCTGAAAATCTCTATTGAAATCGGATTGCCACACAACAAATGGCGCATGTTTCCAGGGCAGTTTTTGAGCTGGTATCATTGTTGTCTTGATTTGTCAGATGAGGACAGTGAAAGGGAAGGCCAGCTCTTCCAGGGTCCCACACCCAGGAGGGTGGGTTTGCCTGCCGGGCTCTGGCCCTGTCCCTGCTCCCCGCACCCCACTCCAACCCCCCAGCAGGGAAACCACAGGTGACACTGTAATGCCCCTGGAGAGGCCGGGCTGGGAGAGTTCTGGGCTGGCAGGAAGACTGGGGTGACTGGGGGCAGCTGCAGTATGGGCCCCGAAGTCTGGGGAAGAGCAGAGGGCAAGTGAAGAAAAGAGCCTATGTTTGGGCTTGGCGTTCCAGACTTTCACATCAGAGTCAAGTAAAAACTTCAGGCTCCCTCTTCCCACTCATTTCCCTTGGCCCTCCCAGCCCTCCCCCATGCAGACCCCAGGAACACAGCGGGGGCTCCCAGGGCTAGAAGCCCAGGTAAGAACTACTCAGGTGCTCATTCTCCCAACTGAAATACCAATCTATTATGGTTTCCCTACCTAGCAAAAGAGTGTGAAAACACGTTGGGAATTCCTGGTTATCCTCATTCAAAGTATGCACACAAAGAGAAGCCACAGAGTCCCATGGCTAACCCTCAGCCTGTGGGTTTAAATCCCAGGAATGTCCCTGTATTGCTGATGGCCTTGGACAGAGTCATCACTTCCCTGTTCCGTCTCATTTGCTCCCTCTAATGTGGGATCAGAGCACTATCTACTCACGGAGTGGTTGGGAAAACCACTGAGATGATTCCTGTAGGGCGTTTAACTCAGTGCCTGGCAAGTGGGAAGGGTTTTGGGAGGGTTAGCTGCTATCCGTAAGAAAAAATAACGCTCCGGGGGGGCCTGGGTGGCTCAGTGGGTAAAGGGTCTGACTCTTGATTTCAGCTCAAGTGCGGATCTCAGGGTGGTGAGTTGGAGCCCCGAGTGGAGCTCTGCACTGGACTTGGAGGCTTGTTTAAGATTCTCTCTCCCCCTCCCCCTCTGCTCAGACCCTCCCTGGCCCCTGCTTGCACATGCGCTCTGTCGCGCTCTCTCTCTTTCTCTCAAAATAAAAAATTAAAAAATAACGCTGCATGAGACAGAAAGCAAGAAGGGACCTTGGTCTTTAGTAAAACCCTCAAGTGTGTGTCCCACTGCTTTTGTTTTGGAGTATTCCAGCAGGCATGGGAGGAATTCTCATGGTGGCAGTGTCATGTCAGGATGTAGAAGGTCCTCGGGAACCTAAGGGGGAGTCCTCAGATGAACCAAGGTCAAGGGGCATGGACCTAAGGGGGAGGGGCTGGAGAGGGCAGGCATATCCGCTCCCTGGCTCCTCCCATCCCACAGCTCTGGCTCTCTCCTTCTTCGTTCCCGCTTTCACTCTGCTTCCCTTGCCCTTGCCCTTCCTTCCTTCTCTTTCCCCGTCCTTTCTCCATCTCCAGGCCAAGAGTTCACGTCTCCTAGAATGAGCTAGATTCTCTAGGATGCCATAACCACTAAACTACAAACTTGGTGGCTTGAGACAACAGAAATTGATTCTCTCACAGTTCTGGAACTGGAAGTCTGAAATCAAGGTGTGTGCAGAGCCGGTTCCTTCTGGACATTCTGAAGAAGAACTAGTCCCTTGTCTTTCTCCTAACTCCTAGAGGTCATTCCCTATGTCTTGGCCTATGGACACGTCACTTCTACCTCTGCCTCCATCTTTACATACAGCCCCTGCCCCTGTCTCTGTGTCAAAGTCCCTTTCCTTTCATCTCTGAGGACACGGGTCCCCCTAAACCCATGGCTACCTCATCTTTAGATATTTAACTTAATTACATCTACAAAGACCCTTTTTCCAAATAAAGTCCTATTCTGAGGTCCTGGGTGACTAGGTGTCTTTTGAGGCCACTATATAAGCCACTGAACTCTTTCTCTCCCCCCCATCTAAATATATATCCACTCCACCTTATCTGTCCCCACACCTCTGCCATCTCACCTCCTTCCTTTGTCTCCCCTTCGCCTTCTCTCTCTCCATTGCCTTTTTATTTTTAAAATTATTTTTAAAAGATTTACTTATTTCTTTGAGGGAGGGGTGGGGAAGGGGCAGAGTGAGTCTTAAGCGGACACCCTTCTGAGTACCGGGCTTGACGTGCTGTTGGATCTCACAACCCTGAGATCACAGCCGAAGCCGAAACCTAAGTGTCAGTCTTCTAACACACTGCACCACCCAGGAGCCCCTCTCCATTGTCTTTTTAAAATAAGGCTTCTTGGGCACCTGGGTGGCTCAGTTGGTTAAGCAACTGCCTGCAGCTCAGGTCATGATCCTGGAGTCCTGGGATTGAGTCCAGAGTCGGGCTCCCTGCTCGGCAGGGAGTCTGCTTCTCCCTCTGACCCTCCCCCTTCTCGTGCTCTCTCTCTCTCACTCTCTCTCAAATAAATAAATAAATAAATAAATAAAAAATAAAATAAAATAAGGCTTCTCTCCAGTGCTTCTCCATCACTTAGCTTGTGATGAATTGATCAGGTGCGCAGCAACAACTGGTCTAGAATTTTTCATTTAAAATCCTTGGGAGGAAAGTTTTGACTGGGTCAGCCTGATCAGGTGTCCAATCAGCCGTAAGCCCAGAAGCCAGGCTGGTTATCAGGTATTAGTCACTGGGCAGTTAGTCACCAGATGCCAGCCAGAGCACCTGCCAGTCATTGGGTCCACTGTGAACATGTCATCAGGACTCGTTGCCCACTGGCGGCAGGTCATGGGGCATCCAAAAATGCTTTAAGATTCCTTTCTCTGCTTAGATTTAATAAATCCGCTCTACCTGGGCTTGTATTCAATGCCATGAGGCGTAGTTTTTCAAACTTGCTTGACTGTGAGAATCATACAGGGGAGGACAGTGTTTTGATAAGAATATAGATTACCAGGCCCCTCTCTAGATTCTGCATTTTAACAAACACTCCAGGAGATTCTTACAGACAGAAAATTGTGGGAAATAGAACCATAGAGCACAGTGTCTTTCCAATGTCAAAGAGTCTGACCCACTGTTCCCAGCAAATCCGTCCCCCAGTTAACACATTCCTGTGACATTCACCCAACCTAGAGAGAAAACATGGTGGCAACACATAATGCCAGACCTTGAAGTGGGACATGGCGTGGCTAAAAGCATGCATGGGCTTTACTGCTAACTCCTGATTTGGGCTCAGGTCATGATCTCAGAGTCAGGCTCAGTGTTCAGCACACAGTTTGCTTGAGGTTCTCTCTCTCCCTCTGCCCCACCCCCCATGCCCCCCACCCCATCTCGCTCACTCTCTCGCATAAATAAATAATGTGGGCTTTGTTGCTGCTGCATGGACCTAAGATCATAGGCCAGTGACCCAAGGCACAGGACTTCTCAAAGTCTCATGTTCACTTGTGAAGGGGGGACGATAATATTCTCATTGGGTTTTTTTTGAAGACAAAAGATTGTAATGAACATACGGTATATCTTTTGAGCACGTCCTCTGTTGAATGCATCACGTGGGCCATGTCGGAGAGCAGCCAGCGCCAAAGACCGCCTTCTCTGCTGGGGCCGGAGTTAGCCAGGTAGAGAGCACGCTCACTTGGGCAGAACTGAGATTGTCTGCGGAAGAGAGAGAACAGGGTGACAGGGAATGAATACTGGCTCAGAAGCTGACCCATGGTATCTGCTACATCTTCTTAGGGGCATTTCCAGCAGCATCTCATTGTGTGTAATTTTTATCACAGAAATTCTCAAATACACAACAGGCGAGAGGATTGTCCAAGAAGCCCCACATCCCCTTGCCCCGCGGCAACAACCAGCTCTTACCATTCTTAGCCCATTGTCCTCCCTTGCTAGCCACCTCCTTGCTGTCCCCACCAGAGTGTTCTAAAGGCACTGCTTTACTTTGTGTGTGTGTGTGTGTGTGTGTGTGTGTGTGTGTTTTAATAGACTTTGTTTTTTTAGAGCAGTTTTAGTTTCACCCTGAATTTCAGGGGAAGGTATGGAGATTTCCCATATAACTCCTGCCCCCCATACCCACAGCCTCCCCAACTACCAACATCCCTCCCCCCACACACACTCACAATTGTCACAATTGCTGAGCCTTCACTGACACATCGTTATCACCCAGAGCCCAGAGTTCAGGCAAGGATTCAGTCTTGATGTACATTCTACGGGTTTGGATAAATGTATACCAGCATGTAATTGTTTCTTTTCTTTTTTTTTTTTTTAAGATTTTATTTATTTATTTGTGACAGTGTGAGCACTAGTCAGGGGGGAAGGGCAGAGGGAGAGGGAAAAGTAGGCTTTCCACTTGGGGCAGGGAGCCCCACACAGGGCTCAAACCCAGGACCCTGGGATCATGACCTGAGCCGAAGGCAGACACTTGACCGACTAAGCCACCTAGGAGTACCTATTTCTCTTTTAAATACTCCAGTATTTCTGACAGAGACAGCCCCATATTACATTACAAGCATCTGATAGGACAGATGATGTGACAGAAAGCACCAGGCACCACCCGTAAGGAAGTGTTGCCACAGACACGGAGCTCGAAAGCAGCTCTGGAGTTCACAGGAGCTACAGGGAATAGAGAGGTGTGTTCAAGGTCACCACCAGGATACACTCAGTTACATCTCTAACATGGCACATTCTATGGGACAAAGAACCCAGGAGTTCTTTTTTTCTTTATTTATGTACTTTTTATTTTAAAAAATTTTTAAAGTAGGCTCTACGCTCCATGTGGAAATTGAACTTATGACCCTGAGATCAAGAGTTGCTTGCTCCACTGACCGAGCCAGCTAGGCACCCCTCCGCCCCTACGGTTTCTTTTTTCACCTAATGAATAGCATTAAAAAAGAGAGGGAAACTGTTAAAGATTAAAACAGACTCAAGCAAATGCAGTGCAGGGATGAAGAGAAGAATTCAGTTCTTGATTTGAAGGAGCCAATCATAAAGCTATGCTTTTGAGACGACTGGGGGCAATTGAACAGAAACTGGGAATTCACTGATAATAGAAGATTGCCATTAGTTTGGGGGGATATTAAAATGGCATGTCGTCAGTATTACTGATTAAGTCCTAACTGGTATTGCTTTTGACATAAACACATAGGGATAGACTTTGGAGTGGTTGTTTCAAGACCTTGAGCCCAGTCTGAGCTTCAACAATAAACTGCTGGTTGTTGGGCCTCAGTGTTTTCATCTACAAAATGTATAGATTAGACAGGATTTCCTCTGCAGCTCCCCCCAGTTTCTACCACCCCAACCGCAACAATTTCAGCTCTAATGTCCTATCTACCCTCTTCATGCTGACACCAGCCTCAGGTCTGAGATGCCCACTAGGATGAGCTCATGGTTTAAACTAAAAATGCTTCTATTTATGTGTCATAAAAATAATAATAATTATTATAGGGTTATAATATATATTTATATATATAATACTATTATATATCTTCATTATTTTTGGAGACAACATTATTGATTCCGATTGAGCTTGTGGGCCACTCTGAGATTCTTATCTTCCCTCACCCAGCCTGCCTCTGCTCAATCTGGATTCAGGGAATGACACTCCTCTCTATCAAATGCCTCTCTGATTCCCATCTCCCCACTTTTCTACTTTGTCAAGGTCATTTTACCTAATACGCCCCATTTATTATTTATTATTCAAAGATCTGTGGTTGCTCTAACTCAGGACGGGTAGATCCCAGCCTGGCTCTCGTGGCCACAGACTCACAATAATAGAAATGCCTTCCCATTCCATAGAGCTGTTCAAGCTTTTAAAGCACATTTTCATGGATTATGGCCTTCTTTTACAGTCACTCTAGAGTTGATAGGATAGGCATTCCTATTCCCATTTCACAGACTGAGTAATTAAGGTTCTGAGAAAGTGAAACGACAACTCAAGAGTCAGGAGCTTGAGTTCTAAGTCTGGGTTCTATCATTATCACTAGCGTGACCTTGGGCATGGCTTAGGCCCCACTGGGCTACAGTGGAATTGACTACACATGGGGATTTTCTCAGGATTACCCTGGCTTATACCTGCTGAGCCTGTGTGATTACCATCTGTGACCCCTTGCACTCTAGAATGTGCTCCAGGAGCACCTGGGTGGCTCAATGGGTTAAGCGTCCAACTTTTGATTTCGGCTCAGGTCATGATCAGGGTCATGGGGCTGAGCTTGGCAACCGGCTCCACACTCAGTCGGCAGTCTGCTGGAGGCTCTCTCTCTCCCTCTGCCCCTTTCCCCTCACGTGCGTGTTCTTTGAGAAGTCTCTCTCTGCTCAAATAAATAAATCTTTTTAAAAACTGTGTTCCAGTTTGGAAGATAAAATACATAGTTCTCTACCTAAAGCCCTGGAAGGTGAGGAGCATGGGCCCTACCAGTGGTTTTCAATCCTGGTTGCCTGACAGAATCACTGGGAGAAATTAAACTCGCAAAGCTCAGAATTTGCCCTAAGCCAATTACATCAGAATATTTGTCAGGATGGAGCCTGAAATCGTATTGGGTTCCAGCTCACCTGGGGGGAGGCAGAGGTCGGAGGGTGGGGGTGTTCTAATGTGCTGCTAGAGTTGCAACCCCAGTGGGATGAGCTTACCCTTCATCAGCAGCACCTGGGAGACCCCACGCGGAAGCTCAGGTCCCACCGGAGACCCTACGTCGCCACAGCCTCCCGCTAGGCATTCTCACGCATGCTCGCTTTAAACAGCGAGACAGACTGAGCGCTGGGCCCGAGACTGCCTTGAAATGACTGGGCCAGTAGCGCTCGGCAGCTGGAGCTTTACCTGGGGCCATGGCTCCCAGGCCCGGTGCTACCTCAGCAGGTCCCTGTGGTTCCCCGCCTGGTTAATGGTGAGGGCAGGAGTCTGCACCGTGATGTAGGCTGGAAGGGAGGGCTTAGGGGTAATGAAGGGTAACATGGTAACTCACCCCCCAGAATGTGTGAGAGCAAGAGCGTCAATGATCAGTGGACCTGACCATTTCCAGCAGCTTAAGATATGAATAAGGACACATCAGTTCTTAATGCTCACATTATTGTTTCCAAGCTTTTCCTGTCTGATTAGCAGCATGCCCATTACCTCATTCCCTCCTTTGCCCTCTCTGTGCCCCGTTTTCAAGAACCCCCCCCTTATCACTCCAGAGCGATCAAACCCATGCCTAACACCACTCTTGTGGGCCCAGGGCAGGGAGGATGGAGAAACTGACAGGTCTACGCACAGCCCAGATGGAATGGTTTTCTCTTGTGGGTTTGATTTAGAAAATTGGTTCCACCTGACGTGTTGTATCTTTGGCTGCTACTGGAAAAAGCCCTTGGTATCCGGGTGCCCACACCAGCCTCCCTGATTCTTGAGAGGGAATATCACATTTCTATGCAGTCACCCCTGGCCAGAGAGCTCTAGGGGGGAGGGGGGGAATTCCAGGTTTATAGCGTGGAGTCTTGAACTCAAAAAGCACATGACGCTTCCTTTTGCCCCAAGGTGATGTCCTCTTGACAGGGGCGGGGAGGGTGTGTTCCTTGCTATCTTTCCTGGGAGCTGACTTCAGGGGGTACCATTGCCATGGATAGAGCACTTACTACTTAAGCCTCAAAAGTGTTCTCTTGTTCTCCCCAGAAGCTCCCTGGCCCCTTTTCTCTCTGCCTGCTTCTGCTGCTCTTGCCTCATGCTCCTCTCAAGACACACATGCTTCTCGTCTTCTTAAACACACCAGGCATTTTCCCAACTCAGGGCCTTGGCCCTGGCCATCCTGCCCTGCACTCTCTTCCCTTACATACCTGCAAAGCCAACTGCCCCCTCTTTCAAGCCTTGCTTCAAATATCATTTCAGTAAGACTTACTCTAACAGTACGATGTGTGAAATGGCAACCAGGACCCACACAGCCAGCCCCCTCTCACCCTCCTGATCCTCCTTACCCATATTTATGTGTTGTAATTGTACTTACTCTCAATCACACTACATCATTTTCTTCTATTCATTCTTTATTGTCTGTCTCCCTCCAGTAGAAGGTAGGCTTCATAGGACAAAGCCTATTTCCCCTGCATTTGCTCACTGGTATGTCCCCAGTGTCCAGAACAATGTCTGGCATATAGGAGGCCCTCAGGAAATATTCATGGAATGGATAAATATTCAAAGGCCCTGGATGTAGGTGGAATTATAGCACCCATTTCACAGACAGGAAAACTGAAACCCGGAGAAGAGAAGTGACTCACTGGAGGTCATGGAGGACTCAGTTACTAGCACCAGGTCACACAGGCTTCAGAGCTAGTCCCTGGACTAGTTCAAAGGATCGCAGTACAAGCAACATACGGATATACCTTGGATAGAGTCCAGGGAGGAGGAATTAAATTAAAATCTGCTTTGTTTTTAGGGATAGAGGTGGGAGATGTTGGAAGAAGAATTGTGTAAGAAGGTTTTGGCGGCCTAATAGTTGGGGTATGCTTTATAATTCTGCCCTTAAAAACAGATCTGGATTATGTACCCTATGGTGCTAGACAGAAAGAAGACAAGACTACCCTAAGCCTCTGGAGACGGTGATGTAGTAACCTGTGGTGGAAGGAGAGTGTGTCCCTTGAGGTCAGTGACCAAGAACAATACCAAGACATACTGTAACAAACCACCTCCACACATG